CAGGTGATTGCGTACCGGACGGAAAGACGCAAGACGACTATATCTCCGCGATGTTACCAAATCAGTTACCATATAATCGACAATCACCGCAGGATTATCCTATTTAGTGCTCACTTGAGTCGGCTTCCATCTATAATGATCGACAGAAACAAAATGAGCTTTTGTAATAATACCGTATACAAAATCGTTAATATTTTGTATGTCGTGAAATAATAAAATCCACAATTTAATTGTCGAGAGTGATTAAGAATTATTTTCCTTGGCAAATTGAATTTTTTTCAATCTCATGTCCCATGTCTAAATCCATTCGCTCTCAATCGGATGATATCAAACACAAAATAATAGCTATAGAAAATGATTTCGTGATATTACAGTAATAATATAATGATAAATATAATAAATATAATAATATCAGAGATGTAAACACTGTAAACGTAGCTCATTTTATTTCAAAATTAATAAATGAATAGATCAGTAATAAATTACCTAACTACTGAAAATGTTTGATCAATCTGTATTATAATTTTTTCTTCGGATCTTTAGATTGCGAGATATATTTGACATACACATCATTAATTTCATAGTTTAATTATTAAAAAATTGCTTGCAATAATAACAGATTTTTTTCATGAATATTTTTTCAAAATATATGTAAACTGTAATTCTGTTATATGTACACATAATATAACAGAAAAAATTATCTATTATAAAAATGAAGTATTTTTGAATAAAAATAATTTTTACTTGATTTGATATTGCTCTTTCCATAATTAATGCAAAAACTTTCCATAGTTAATGCAAAAACTTTAAAAAGATGATATTAACATTGTAATCAAACTTCATTTTATCAGAATTATAATTAAAGTTTATTAACACTAAATATTAGTTATTAATAAGTTTTAATTATAATTTCTGTCGAAATAAAGTCTATTTGTATAATCATTTAAAAATAAAATTTAATTATAAACTAAAAATTTCTCTGAAGCTAAATATTACTACTAGTTTAAATACACTCGTATTATTTTCTTTATATTACATAATATGTGTATTTATACATTTTCAAGACAAATTCTTTGTAAAATAATGCATCGTTTATTGATAATATGAATCCATTATTTATAAATAGCTTCCTAATTTCTGATTATTCATTTTGAATAGAACATTCGTTACGTCGCTATTTCAAGAACAAATCTTTGCTGTAAATATTTTCATAAATCACAAATATTTGATTCCTAATTTGTATCTAATGAGAATCGCATTAAGAATCATCGCGTTACTTCAAGATAATTTAGCATGTGTCCACTTCATACCTAAAGCCAGAATCAGACTTAGATCTGATTAAATCCGCATCGAAGAATGAGATTGAAGATTGAAAGATTGATGTTTGATTAATCAGAAAGGAGCCAAAATTTCTTTGTCCTCATTGGTGAAATTTCAATCTTCAATTTTCAATCTCAATCTTCAATGTTTAATCTGATTCCGGTCTTAGGCTTTTCTCTGATGAAAAAGACAAAGTTCTCTGAAGGGATTATATCCACGAAACCTTGAGAGATCAAGACTTCATTATAAAACACACAATTATACGTTAAATGTCTGGAGAATGACTAGGTAATAAGAAATAAGAAGAGATTGCGATCGAATCGCAATCTCATCTGTTTCCCACGCTCGTCCCGGTATTGTCAGGCATTAGCAAAACGTCGTACCTACTTTTCTTTCGCGTAAAATGAATTCCCGGCTGTCCGCAGGAAATCGAACTGCCGGAACGAACAATTTCTATTTCTATTTCTATCGATTAATGCGATTCGCGCTTATCGACGACGTTTCTCTCAGAATTGTTATTGTCAATATATTTCCGCTTTTGCTTTCACCATTCTCGCGACGTTCTCACAGGAAATTCGTAGAGAGACAATATAAAACTCGGCAGAATCCGTCATTTCCGTTACTAATTCTATTCGAGAAGACAATTCTACACTATCAATGAGATATGAGCCATTTGATCTGCGTTCCGCGTACAAACTATTTTACTCTGTTTGCTTTGAATATAGATCGAAAGATTTCTCCGAGAATATTGTGTCTGCAAAAGAAAATTATAGGATGATCCCACGCTATTGAGATTGAGAGATAGTGATTTAAATATTACGAGTGCTTTACAAAGATTCATGTCGTCGACGTTTAATTCGGCAAGGAAATGCCGATTCTGTTTCTCAATGCTGAATATCTAAACGTATTGCATAAACGATGTTTGAATGCTATGTTATTATCTATCTATTTATTTAGTTCTCAAGCAAAATCCTTGAAGCAAATAGTATGATTAAAAATTTATGAAGAATATCTTCTTGAGAAGTTATATTTAGTGAAACTGTAATGTCTTGAAGAACA